ACACGGAGATGGAACGTTCTGAGATGGAACACACACGAAGATCGAACATTCTGAGATAGAATACACACAGGGATGGAACATTCTGAGATGGAACACACACAGGGATGGAACATTCTGAGATGGAACACACATATGGAGATGGAACGTTCTGAGATGAAACACACACGGAGGTGGAACGTTCTGAGATGGAACACACACGAAGATCGAACATTCTGAGATAGAATACACACAGGGATGGAACATTCTGAGATGGAACACACAGGAATGGGACATTCTGAGATGGAACACACAGGGATGGAACGTTCTGAGATGGAACACACATGGAGATTGAACGTTCTGAGATGGAACACACATGGAGATGGAACACACAGGGATGGAACATTCTGAGATGGAACACACAGAAATGGAACATTCTGAGATGGAACACACACACACAGGGATGGAACATTCTGAGATGGAACACACATGGAGATGGAACGTTGTGAGATGGAACACACAAGGAGTATAGAACAATATTGTTGGGGGTGTTAGGGAGTGGAACTGCTGTGATTTTCTCTGCAAGTTATTTTTATCTCTGCTTGCTGCCTCCTAAAAAAGTAAATTTCTAACGATTCTTGAAACGTCTAACCAGCGATTTATACCAAAAATCAAACAAATTTTAACGCTTGTAATACGGAAGCGAACAACTTTGTTTGCGAGTTTCTGCTGCGCGGTGGCGCCGGCAGGCGCTAGATGGGCGCCGCGTCTCTTACCTGGCACCTGCTGCAGCAGCTCGTGGCTGTGCTGACCGATGAGACGGAGCCCGTCTAACTCTGGCACGAGACGTATCGGGTAGTCATACGCATAGCTGTGAACGCTGCTCAGGAAATCACACGTGCCCGTCGCCACGGCAACGAGCGCAGAAGCATCTCACTAGGAGTCACTCTGCATATGCCTTCACGTTCGAAATCGGCGACTAAAGGACTATTTGGTTATAGCACATCTTCTGTGTGGCTACCTAATCCCAAACTAGGGTGGGGTTAATCCTAGATTAATAATAATTAATAATATTGTTAATTATAATATAATATGTAATTACAAATAATATTATTAATAATATAATTCTAAGAACTCAATAGCACGACGAATTATAAAAAAGTTAAATAAACACGCGAACGTGCAACTGCGCTGCGAGCGAAAAGAAGGATACTGTATGTAGTCCTTCTGTGATCCAACAAGCAGAAGCAGCTTGTCCCAGTACGCTGCCACCGCCCCCGTGCCGCACCATTCCAACTGCAGGGGGCGCTGCTTGCACTGCGTGTCAAACTCGCAGTCGCACTTCTGCGAAAGAGAGAACGGCACGTCACTCGCGCTGCCGCAGAGTGGCTCCATCTACGCAACAAGTGAGGGTCATCCGCGAAAACTATCGGGAAACGAGCAGCCCCGAATTCGTTGGCGAGTATGACGAGAGCTCTCCGGTGTATGTAGGTGGCGCCGGTGCGACCGTACCCGCGCTGCCGCCGACGACTACAAGACGTACCTGAAGATCGGAAGATCCGACCCAGATCTGACCGTTGGCAGTGAAGAGAGCCAGGTGTTTGCTGTTGACAGATACTGCCATCTCCGTGTACGCCAGCACGGGCTGACGGATGCTCAACGTCTGCAATTATTAATTAGGCTAACGATCGTTAACGAGCGACTCCGCATACGCCAGCACAGGCTGACGGATGCTCAACGTCTGCAATCATTAATTAGGCTA